CCTATGAAACTGATATTACGTATTTAAGATAGGTATATGCCTTAGTTGTGACGGCAACTTTTTCCTTAAAATCGGCTAACCGGAAGTGCCACTTTCTATCAACAGTGAAACACATTTTTACAATTTTCTCAAAAACGGCTCTAACGATTTTGATTAAACTCGGTGTATCATTGTATAATTAAGTGGTCTTTAATATAAATTAGGTTTTATCCCCATTGATGTCACTTTACAGGGCTTAAATGCCCAATGTTCATATACGTCTTCCTCTAAAGTACCTTTAATATGGTTTATTTTAAAAAAATAATTATTTCGCATTATTCAGAGTTACGAAAAAATGCTAAATATAACTTTTGAAAGAATTTGATAAGTTAATAAAGGAGAAAAAAAATAAAAATGCAGAAAAACGTAGCTATTGACTGTAGCGCCTAAACGAATGTACCGATTTCATTGAAACTTCGCTAAAATCATTTTCTCGACACCCTTTAAATTATATATAACATTCATCAGCGAAAAGAAGCTGAAAAAAAGTTGCGAGGGATGGTAAAATTAAAATCCGAATAACTCAAAAAGTATACACTTTTTTGGGAATGTTGTATATGGTTTTATAAAAGTTTATGGAATAGCCTAAAAAACAAAAAAAAAATCGCTAAAATCGAATAATTAGATATGGTCTCTAGTTTTTTTAATACGTTCTGCTGCAATGGTTATATCCTTTGTTTCGGTTTTTGAATTTTGAATGTGTTAATAAGGTAATGCTAATTTTTTTTTTTTGAAATGCAATTTAAAACATTTTATAATAGCCTAACGTGGCCAGAAAATAATTTTTATTCAAAGTTCAAAGGGTAAGTGAAAGTTGCGTGTTGCGCGCACCAGATTTTTTCATTTGTGTGTACTCTCTAAGCACTTTAAGCCCGTTTTAATAACTATTGACATCTAAGACATTGTTTTCTTCACCTCTATTCCACCCTCTGAAAAGATCTTCACCTTGAAGATATACACTTCGTAGTCTGACTATAATTCTTGCGCAGACAAAAGAAAGCCGTTCGAAATGGAGAAGAGATAGCAGCACTAAGTTGGGGAGGTGAAATATAAGAGCCTGCGTCAGACTGGTAATTGTCCCCAACTTTATAATTTAGCGTCGAGTTAGGACGCCCATTAACAGTGTTTTCCTAAAGTCGCTACAGTTTTCCTTTATTGTCCTTATCTAGCTGCTAACAGATGTGCCCCCTCCTCCCCCCGTTTACCCAATTCTCTGCAACACCGTATCGTCCCGATCTCTGCAGTTTTCTCTCTCTACTAGTTTCTGATTCGATGGACCAATTAAGATGTAGAAATCGTTACGTGCCTCGAACGAACAGATATATCATTTATTTATCTTCTATCCAGATTATATAGTTAACTTTTTTAGTCATGTATATGAGACTTTTGTAATTAATTGGAAGACGTTTTTATTGTTATAACCTAATCTTCATCGACAACAAACTGAAAATGCATGCAAATACCCTATTAGATTGTTTAATTTCCTCCTTATGTTATGTTTTTGAACATTTTATGATTTGTATCCAAATTTAATTCATCGAGATGGAGGGGTAGAAAAATGTTGTAAAAGTATTTTTTTAACACCAACTCTATTCACATAGTCCTCTTACTGAATTTAGATAGGTATTTTTATTTTCTCTTACCTAAATATTTAATGTATAGTAAGGGTGAGTATTGCATCGTGAAAATTTTCGAGTCTGAGTTTTCAACGTAAATACACTTTTTGAAGTACCCTGAGTCCTAATACCCAAGTCCCGAAAAATGATCTGTGTGTATGTGAACACTCTAGATCGAAAACGAAAAGTCGTATGAAACTAATACCACATATTTAAGATAGGTATATGCCTTAGATGTCCTAGCAACTTCTTCCTTAAAATCGGCTAACCGGAAGTGCCACTTTCTATCAACAGTGAAACACATTTTTACAATTTTCTCAAAAACGGCTCTAACGATTTTGATTAAACACGGTGTATCTTTGTATGATTAAGTGGTCTTTAATATCATTTAGGTCTTATCACCATTGATGTCATTTTACAGGGCTTAAATACCCAATGTTCATATGCTTCTTCCTCTAAAGTACCTTTCATATGGTTAATTTTAAATAGTTAACTATCTCTCCTTTATTAAGAGTTACGAAAAAATGCTAAATATAAATTTTAAAGGAATTTGATAATTGAATAAACGAGAAAAAAATAAAAATGGTTATCCATGTCGGGAACGAATCTGCGGAAATACTAGTCAGAAGGTATACGTATAATATATTGTAGATTGTAGATCTTTTGTGACCTTAACAAACCTCTTCCATCTCTGCCTGTATTAGGCCACATCTTTGTATTTATCTGCACGCAGCTGTATTGCGTTTCTATTGATTCTGTTTGTCCATATGCTTTTTGGCCTTCCACGTGGTCTGTTGCCTTCTATCATATCATGGGATATTGATTGATCAGTTTCTGTAAGCATTTCTTTATTGGCCTTTCTTCTCTATGTGTTCTGATCCCAAATCACTTCGGTTATCATGCGAAGGATTTTCCTCTCAAATATTTCAATACTTTTTTTTAGTATGCTGGTTAGTGTCGAGGTCTCACAGCCATATATTAGAACTGGCTTTATCATTTCATTTTAGATAGGCTTAAAATGCATCTAAAAATTATAAGGTGTACAAATTTTATGAACCTACCGGATTCAAGAATAAAATTAATTACCACTTCTACGGTATATTTCTGTCTAAAAAACACGTACAGAATTTCGGGTTATTTGTACATGACTAGTTTCAATTCTATTACTTTATCTGTTGCACGTGTCTCGGCCGAAGTTATCAGCCTTTATCAATGCTGATTTGAATACATTAATCAAGTAAAAAGTAGATAAAACAAATAATAACAATCTAATCGCTATGAAATGGAATGGATGAGTAACAGGATATAATTGATCTATTGTTGCTCCGATAAAATCAGTAAATACAGCTGTGGCGACTTTTTTAACTTTCCATTTTTTATTTCATCTCTAATTGGATATTAATTTTTTCAAGTTGTTTATCACAAATTAAGTGTACACAATGATATAACAAAGCCAGTTTTAATGTATGACTGGACACTAACCAGCATCCAAACAGATTATAAAAGATTACTGAACTCACTAATTAAATTAAAGACGTGTTTAAAAATTATGACATAACAGAAAGAAACTTGGCAATATAATAATAAAAAACTGAGCAGGCATATCACCAATACAAAAGATAAAATAGACAAGAAAATCCCAAAAGCCCCAAAATCTACAATGGTGAAACATCCAAACAATTAGGGACCAGTATTTCACAACACATTACTAACTGTAAAAATACAAAAAAAAAAAAATAAACACAACAGCTTTAGCGAATCACAGCATACGATTAAAACATAAATTCAACTTCAATAAACCACAGATATTAGGCACAGAACCAAAAAACGCCAATAGGAAATTACTTGAAGCCATACACATCACAAAAAACAATAGAACAACAGTAAATTATAAAACAGACACTAAACATTTAGGAACACATTATGCTGACATATTAAACAAAATTAAAATTTAATAAAAATGAAATTGCAGCTTCATAAAAAATAGACATTTAACAACAATAGTACAAAAATAAACAGTCATTTCTAAAGGTCAATTGTATTCACCATGGTAGACTCCCAATAATTGGTCTAAAAGCATGATGTTGCTCTGGATGTCATATAACTTAAATTATTATAACATGAATTTAGAACTTGACAATGGAGCACATTAGATTTAAGGTAATTACAAATTTAATGTAACAACCCAATTCTGACATGTATTGTAACATGCATTATATTTTAATTCAATTTTTTAACCATGTATCAACCAAAAACATTGGGATTGTAGTTCTGAAGATGAGAGTAATTTTTGTAATTTGGAAATACAACAAATAAATTCAATTGTTGGAAGTCATCATTGCCAAACAACAAAGACTAAAAGATAATATTGAATGATTTGAGAGAAAAATCCTCTGAAAAATAAGTAGAGCTAAGTGAAATCAGATTACCAACACATAAAGAAGAAATACGAATAAAAATAATGCTTACAAAAACTGGCCAATAAATATCTCATGGCATGCAGGCATGGAGGTTATGATTGGCGGGGCATATAGCTGGAAGGCTCTAAATGCCAATGAATATCTCATGAGTAGCCAAATTACCACGAGAAGGCCAAAAAGCAGATGGATTGATCGAACCAACAAAGATGCAATAGAGATAACTGGAAAGAAATAGCCCAAGATAGGCAGAAATGGAGTATGCTTGCTATGGCGACAAAAGATCTACAAGATCCGCTATGCAATCAGAAAAAAAAAAAAATATATATATATATATATATATATATATATATATATATATATATATATGTGTGTGTGTTTATTTTTCGATTGGTAATTAGGACAATGTAGATCTTTGGCTAGGATTTGTGGTCTTGAAGACGTATATTGCGAACAGATAGTATGGAAGGAGTTCACCCAACCTCACGTTGCTACGAACCATGTCATACATAGTTCCATCACCGATCCATAGTTCCTCCGGTCCAAGGACAGTGACGGATCTTTCTAGATCCATGGATTATGGCTGCTCGGAGTCAGCAGGCGTACCAAATCTTCGAGGGCTTACTGACATTCAAGAAAACCACAACACGATTCCTATTAAAGTACACGGATTAATCATCAGTTGGTGTGAGTTACCTCCAGTAGGCTCAGGGAGAAATATAGAGTAGATTTGAATGTATGTTTAATGTTTAGAGCATATAATAAATTTTCTTGGAATTTTCTAGTAAGATATTTTGAGGTTGTTTACGTGAGATATGCAATTTATAATATTTTTTAAAAATAAAAATCTGTTAAGGTCTTAACTGAATAATATTGATGATAACTATAACTTGCGATGAAGACATAACAAGGATTATTATAAGTCCTGTTAGGGAAGACAGGACGATATAACATCGATAGGGCTGACGGCTCTCCCTACGGTATCCCTACCACTCAGCCGGTGTTTGCTCAACCAGGGCAACTTTGACAGTCGGTCCCTTACAACTTCTTCCTCGGATAGGATCCACCCCATTCTTTCGTCAAAGGCTCTGATAAATCTCTCATAGCCAAACTGATCAATAATTGCTCCATCTGATGACCATAATATCTAGTAATAATTATCCAGGATATTTCTTGGAATATTCTACATGTGTAATCCATAACAATTTACATTATGTTATTTTTATGATATTATTGATAGACTCAGTATATTGTTATAGTTCACAGTAATAATAGAGATGACCCTATTAGTTATGAAATTATATTAACTATTATTTCAGCTATTTGAACATTTAGTTCCATTTAGCTTGAACATCGCGCTTAAAACAACTTATGATTGCTTTTAGCATCACACTCTCGAGCCATGAGTCTAATTTGAGTTCCATAATGTACGTAAAACAATATTCAGCAAGTGGAATAAAATGAAATTTGTTATTAAAGTATTACTTTTTCATGTTTCCATGAAGGAGAGATAGAGCTTTCGTTACGCCACTTCTTAAAAGTATAGTATTAGATTTATTACAATACTATATTCTTTATTCTGGAAGAAGGTCTCTTGAAAATATCAAGTATGTTGAATTAAAAATAAACCATATAAAGACATTTTTTTTCCTATTTTCATATCTCCTCTTTTATATATCGTCTTATATTCTGTTGAATTTTCTGTCGCACTTTATAACCCTTTTACTGGTAAAATCATTGTAAGGTGTATTTCAGATGTATTTAGTTTTGTGAGTTTCGTATAAATCTGATATATATCGGTGCTGCGACTTACCGCTTGATGACTTGACTTGATGACAACTAATGTTCAAACAATACATAAACATAAAAAAGATCAGAGATTGAAGAAACAAGAAATGAAAAATATAGAATAGGAACAATATAAATTGATTCTCGAAGTAAAAATATAAATAATTAAAACGACCATGCACTTCAATAAAACTTCCATTCATCTAATTTCATGATAAAAGAGTGCCGATTTCGGATGAGAGAAAGTATTCGAAAAGAAGGTATTGGGATATCTTGCCGGTTATCAGACAACAGGGAATTACAGAAGGGTATGGTGCTGACAGGAAAGAAACTTTGAAAGATTTCAGTTCTATGGAAATGGGTATAGAGGTCAGAAACTCAAGATCTTATTTTCTATTCGTAATTCAAGGATAAAAGGATAAAACTATCTCTAGATAGCCAGGTCAAGCTATGTCTGATAGCTTAGAAATAATTATCTAGAATGTACCGACTGGACACCAGACCCATTACCAAGACTTAGGAAACAATAACTGATTTCAGCAAAAGGTCTCTTTCTCACAGATCTTATATCAGTTCTTAATAGTTAGTAACTTCTCTCCCACGCTTCCTAGACCTCCCAGAATTCCTTCACCCCCTTTCCCCTGCTGTTCCTGGGCATATAACACCCATGATCCTCTGGGCTAATCATTCTTGCAGTTACATTCTTGTACGAGACCTGGAGTGAACTCTTGTAGTCAACCCATATATTCATAATATTACTCTGTATTTTCAGATGCCATTAGTAACAGACATTATGAATAAAAATATTACTTATAAAGTCTTCACTGCCTCCGATTCGTTAACTCCATTAAAATAACAATCATGCGTCTCGAAACCCTCTGCTTGGCAAATATTAATCAATTAATAACAAATCTGAATATTATTTCTTTATAATTATCCTTCAATGTATTGTTCACAAAACGTCCCTTTATATAATCACAATATTCGCCATCTCAAAGCGAATAATCTTGATTGTAGCAAAAAGCACGCCTAATTCCCTGTATGGTATAGTTACTAAACTAAATTATTGTCCCAATTACTGTTACTATATTGTAATCCTCTAACAGAGCTGCAATTAACTATTCAACAAAGACTACCGCAGGCTGTAAGGACAAAGTCTGCAGGATGAGGAGGAGGTCCTGGGCAGAACTCCTGGGAAGGTTTACTTTCTGCATTAGTAACCATCGCTAGGACCCTTCCAACGGCTAATTCACAATTCAGGATGTTTTCTAAGTCAGTGCTCTAACTATATCTATGCGCCTCTTTGAATATTCTCTAGCTCAAACACGGGGGGTTATATTAGTGTACATGTCATGTATAAATGATTTGTATTCCTAAATTCACATTTTCGTAATGTTGGAGACAAATTTATGAAAAAAATAAATTTTCTCGAAAATTAGTATGTTACTAGAATCGGAGTAAACACATAAACGGTGAATCGGTAGGAACTTGCCGAACTCTATGAGCGGATTGCACAAAAGAGAATAAAAAATCTGGTGAGTCCACTCTCACGACTTTCCTACCTATTTCAGAAGTTTGTATATCTTTACATATGTGAATCAAGGAAAAAACAAAACAAATTGAATTAGATTTGTAGATATTTTGCTGAAAATTGATCAAAGAAATGATTTGAGTACGATTTAATCGATGGACTAAAGTAATATAAACCGGCTTAAGGTAGATCAGTGTAAAAATTTCAATAACCTCTAATATTGCTGTTTCTGTTAAAAGTAGAGGAAATAGTGAAGCTTGTGTGATGCTGGCAACAGATTTTTTTACTTAATTATCTTTTTTCTCACATTCTCCCCTTTCTGACACCAAGATATGAACCCGTAATCTTACATTGGAAATTTAATAGCTCTAACTTCGTTAATCGTTGTCCAAACGATTTTTATACAGTTTTGTAGGAAAATGTATTTATTACCTTGCAATGTATCTTAAAATGTACCTTTCAAAAGTTTTATTTTGAATTTTACCATAGAATATATGCTTAGCGAGTTAAGCGCTAAAACATTTTTCATTTCTTTATAACTTTTTTTCCTTTATTTTCTCGGAAATTTAGTCCATATACGAAAATTGAAAAAAAAGAAAAACATTAAAACAACATAGGAAAGTTTCATCAAAATCGTTAGAGCTGTTTTTGCACTGCAGTCTACAGAAAAACATGTTTTTCATTTATTGCGCATGGGGCATCCAATTTGTGTCACAGACGTCAGTAGTCTAAACCCTACAAAATAAAAAAAGAAGCGACAAAATCGGTTCAGTAGTTTCCGAGAAATTCTTGGCAGGCACAGGCAGATGTATTATTGATATGTATATGTGACAGAAAATGTATTTTTCGGACTCGGGGATTTCTGAAACGTATACATTCGTCAAAAACCGCATATCGGAAATTTGACCCGATTGCAATACTTTCCTTACTTAGTATAGGTAGGAAAGTAAAAAAGAAATCATTTGTTCTTATTCGATTTTCTATTGTTTAAATGTTATAGGCTAATTTCAAAATAATAACTAAGGTGTGTGCTTTAGACTACATAATAGAAGTGAACATATCAACAAAGCGAGATTAATAATATGAAATATAAATTATAAATAATAGCTCATTATTTCACAGGTCAGATTGTTAGTGTCTGAGATACTTTAGTCCATATCTTCTTTAAGACTCATATTGTTTTCAAAATTATTTTTTTCCTTTTCGTTTGTTTTACATCTGTTTATTTTCGAACTTTGGTCATTCATTGAGATTGTAGAATGGAAATATTTGATTAAGTCTCTAATTTTAGATGTTTTTTTTTCTTTTTCATTTAATCGCAGACCGATTTACTTTGTTTATGTGATCTGATTCTTTCAGTCTTTAATGTCCCCTTGATTATTTCCAAGGACATCTATATCTCGTGCATTTCCTAGAATTTTATTCATTCCGACATGCTCTTGTCCATTTTTGAGTAATATTGGTCTTATCACCTCCTATAATGATAATTTTAACCGCATCAGCGAATCTGCAAGATAAAAGACAATAGCCTTTGTAAATACAATTCTTTGAATATTGCTCTATCCTTGGTTCCAGGCACATCTTTTTCCAACTAAGCACGCTCGCTTTGACCACTGAGTTATAGTATCCTGTGACCCTTGTCCGTGGGACTAGTTGGGCATCTTGACTATTTGGTATATTTATATGACGTGCATCCGCCCTAATTCTAAAAGCTGTCAATGTCACAACCCCGAATATCAGGCAATTGTGCATCGGATTCCTTTTGAACTGTCAAGGCTTCCGCCCTTAGAGATGTTTTATTAGTTTACTTCTGAATATCCTTTGTCCAGTATCCCTACCGGCACCTACCCCTAGTAGGTTCGTAGAAACCAAGATAACGCCTATCACCCCCTCTCCTACTCCGGTCAATATCCCCACCCCAGATTTGGGGTATATTACCGCCCTTAATTCATTCCATCATTCTATCTGTAAATATTTCAATAGATGTAACTTATGTAACTTTGTAAGAATAAAGTCTTTTTAAGTCTTTACTGTTGTGAGTTTGTTAATTTGCATCCATTCTCTTGCCGCTAACCAGTTTGAACTTAATATATATATATATATATATATATATATATATATATATTTATCTCTATATAGGCCAATAATGTACCGCGCGTATATTATTTCTAGTATTGTTTTTTTATTTTGTTGCCCACATTTTTCTCATTTGTTTCTCCCATTTGCCTCCATCTTTCTTATGTCTTGCTTCTTCTTCTCCACTATAAGAACCTTTGTTTTTTTTACTATTTTCCATATTTTTTACTTATCTTAATTATCTCTTTGATACACATTATTCTTCTTCTTTTATTTGTTTCAGATATCCTTCTATATTCTCCAGTCCCATCACTATAATAAATATTAGTTTCGTTTACCTACTCCGATTCATTCTCTTTATATACTCGAATAATTTTAACCTCTTCATCGATGATTTTAAGTTTTTAATATGTTCATAAAGCAGCTCACTGTTCTCAATCGGCATTCTTCCTCCATCCTTCTCTGCTCTTATTCTTAGTATTCTTTCTTTGTATTCTCAGTAACTATTCCATGTTGGTAAATCCACCTTAGAGTATCATCGGTTTTATGACTGTTTCGTAATGTGTAATTTTGCGTTTCCTGGAAAGTTTTGTCCTGATTAAGAACCAATGATTATAATGGTCCCCCAACACCTTTTTTTATTTTGTGTTCTCTGCTTTTTAGGATGAACGAGGTTTTCCCCGTGCCAGGAGATGAGAGCGGGGAATTTAAAAGACCCCCAGCCACCGGGACGCGAATTCGTAATTTTATTGTCTCCAATTTTGGTTATCAGGTTGCCAGGCAAGGTGCGTTGCTGTGCACACACGTTAGCCCTTTTGGCCACCCTGCTCCCTAAAAAGAATATGGTGATCTTTTATTATTCGATCTATATCCCTATGAAACTCCATCTCTCTCAACATCGCTCCAATACTCTCTCTAATTTTAAATCCCGCCTATTCAATTAAAGGGACTCGTACCAAAATAAATAACAATTATTATTAAGAACCATAATTTATCCAACTTTACTTTTCTACTTTAAATAGCTTGCATGTCCCTTCCCCTCCCCCCCCCCGCGTGTTGTTCACGATTTCCCCAAGATATTTAAACATATATATCATAAATCTATTTCTATCAAAGTTTAAATAAATTAGGATAACATAAAGTTAAAAAATCTATATTCACTCTCATATATAATAATAATATGAATGTATATTCGTAACGAAGATAGATATCTACACTAAAGATAGTGTGGGTAGTAGGTGCTCTATCAAACCTGTCCGCCGTATACCCATCCATCTCTTGTATAAATGAACTATCGATAGTGACTCCTCTCCCAAATGTAATTTTAATGTACTGTATATATATATATATATATATATATATATATAATATATATATATATATATATATATATATATATATATATATATAGCGACGATCGTTCTTCTTAAATATAGTTCATTTCGTTAGTTTAATAAACTTTAGAGTTTTTTCAATTCCCTTCTGTTCTTCGTATGGAATTATGTCTTCAATGTTTAGTTCTAGTCCTTGTTTAGTGTATTTTTTACATTGAAATATATTTTCTACAATCAGGTAATAGACTAGGACCTATCGACCGTTTTGTTTAATATAATTAAACGAACGGACTTAGCCATTTTCAATTCTAGATGAATCTTATTTGAACCCACAGCTTTGGTCAGCCGGTTGAAAGATGTTGTCGAAAATTTAAAGTAAACGAGCAAAATTTGACGATTCATTTATTTATGTCAATAATATGTCCCTAAAAGAGAATTCATCTCGACTGACGATGTACTCGTGTGCTTTTTGATAACTGATCAAACATTAAAGTCATCAAACTAGGCCAATCGGATGGAAGATGGATGAGGTTGGTAATAGTCGGCTTCTATTTGGCTTCTTATGTTTTTTTATAATGCTGAATCTGAATTTAATTATGTAATAATTTATCGATTATTTCATTTTATCTATATCTCATTTCTTCTAGGAGTGGGGGAATGCTGTTTATAGAAGAATTTGTATTTTAATTTCAACAAAGATAGGTCCTAGTTTGATATTTATTGTTTAATCAACTATTTACAAACTTATTTTATTTTAGATGTATTTTAGTTTTCGCACATTACAAACTATATTCTCTTCTCAACAATCTTTGTAAAAAGTTATCAACTTTCCTTAAAAAAAAATAATATGTTATTTATTATTCACTAATTTAGTCTGATGATGTATATTTAATGATAGTAACTACCGCCTCCTTAGTAACGTGAGTTCATTTACCTTTTGCTGTTTGCTGTAGGATTAGCATGACATGATTTCATTCCCATAATATTTATATCTGTGTATATTTCCTTGCTGTCTTGCCTCTGTATTTGTCGTATGTTGAAGGTTAAAAGGTCATTCTGAGTGATATTATTGTTATGGCAGTTAAATGTGTTAGCTTTATTATTATATTATTATTATTTATTATTTATATTATTATATTATTCTTGACTAAATTAATGCATTCATAAACTAGAAATTAGAACAAGATATGTTTCATAACCATTTATTTTGTGCATTATATCAATGGTGTGTATATGATTCTAGAAATCTGTGGAAGCCATGATTTGTGGTCTCATAAGTTTAT